TTTAAGAGTGTGCCTGCCTTTCCAGTGGTTTCTCCCTGGCAGACAGAAACCCTGCTGCTTTTCATAGCCAGATGTTATGTGGGCATCTTTCTGGTGCTCTTGGCTGGGAAGCCCAGCCTGGGGTTTAGACCCCGGCGTCCTCAGTGGAAACCCCCCTCCAGACCTTCAGCTACTGCCTGCCAGTCTCTGTGAGGTCTCTATTTTTCCTCCTTGGCTATGAGGGTACTCTCCAGCTTGTCTTTAGTTGCAGTTGATTATTTAGGATGGTTTTTCTGTGTTTTAGTTGTAATTCCAGTTTGGTCCTGGGAGAGTATCTGTAGCTTCCACTCAGTCTGCCACCATATTTAATTTCTGTACTACTGAAACCATTTTAAACTCGACATGGCTTTGTCTGAATTTACCTTTCCATTCCCAAATCTGTTTTTCCAACTTCTTATATTTAACGTGGGCCCTAAGTCATGTAGGGCCTAGAGATAATAGACCTAAAGATGAATTCTCTAGGGCCCTAAAGTTTTTAGAGAAGTTTCTTATTTTGTGTTTTCATTTTGGTGATAGGTATCTCAGTTGGTTAGAGAGAGTTTCGTCTGGATATGCCAAGGTTGTAGGTTCAGTGTCCAGACAGGGCACATACAAGAAGCAACCAATGAACACATAAATAAGTGAAACAACAAATCGATGTTTCTCTCTCTCTCTCTTCTCCCCACCCCTCTCTTTCCCCCCCTTTTCCTCCCTCCCTCTCTCCAATCAATAAATAAAATTTTAAAAAATATATAAATAAATTAATATATACACATCTGGGTCATCCAAACAACTTCTGTACTATTGACGATGTTATTTAATATATTCCCATCAGCAGTGTAAGGAAATTCCTGTTGCTTCACATCCTTGATAACACTTGGTATGATGTTAGCTCTTCTAGTGGATATGCTTAGTGGTTTCTAATTGTGGTTTTAATTTGCAGTTTCCTAAGAACTAATGATTTTGAGCACGTTTTATCTGTTTATTTTCCATCCATACATTTTCTTTGGCAAAGTGTTTAAATATTTAAGTGAATTGTCTTATTCGACTGTAAGAATTTATGTATTCTAAATATGTTTTTTCTTGGATATGCATTTTGCAAATATTTTTTTCTATTTGGTGGCTTGTCTTTTAATTTTCTGGATAGTGTCTTTTCAGAAGCAAATATTTTAAATTTTGATGAAGTCCAGTTTATTGATCACTTTTTCTAGTTTACGTGTCCTATTTAACAAATATTTAACTCAGGATTATTAAGATTTTCTCCTGTTCTAGAAATTTCAGTTTTAGTTCTTGCATTTAGATCTGTGTTGCTTTTCAGATTAATTTTTGTATATGGTGAGCAATAAGGGTTGAGGTGTTTTGTTTTTTTTTTGCTTATGGCTATAGTTGATCCAGTACCATTTGTTTAAAAGATTGTCCTTTCCCCGTTGAATTACTTTGGCACCTTTGTCTTAAATCAGTTGGCCCTACACATGTGGGTCTGCTTCTGGACTTTTTTGTTTCTTTGATCTGTACGTACACTCCAATATCAAAGTCTTCATTACTATAGCTTTATGGTAAGCCGTGAAATCAGATTCAATTCCTCCAGATTCTTTTCAAAATTTATTGGTTATTCTGGGTCCTGTGCGTTTACATATGGATTTTAGAATCGGCTTGTTATTTTCTACAAAAAAAGCCTGATAGGCTTTTGATTGGATTGCATTGAATTTCTAAATAAACTTGGGGAGAATTGACATCTTAACAATATTGAGTCTTCTGAACTATGAGCATGAAATATCTGTCTAATCTTTAATTTCTCTCCAGTGTGTTTTAGTTTTCAGCGTGCAGAACTTGCACATCTTTTTTTCCTCCAAATTTACCCCTAAATACTTACTATTTTTGATGCTTTTGGAAAGGGTATGTTTAAAATTTCCATTTCCAATTTTTTTTTGCTCATATGTAGAAATGCAGTTGATATTTATGTATAGATGTTGTATCCTGGAACCTGATTGAACTGAGCCTTTTTGTATATTCCTTAGGATTTTCTATGTAGATGTTTATAAAGTCTGCAATAAAGATAGTTTGACTTATGCCCAGGCCAGGTGACTCAGTTGGTTGGAGTGTTGTCCTGTCACTAAAAGGTTGTAGGTTCAATTTCCAGTCAGGGCACATAACCTAGCTTGTGGTTTGATCCCCAGTCAGAGCCCATGGGGGAGGCAACCGATTGATATTGCTCTCTCACATCAATGTCTCTCTTCCTCTCTTTCTCTCTCCCCTCCTTCCTCTCTCTTTTCTTCTCCTTCTCCTCTCCCGCTAAAATCGATAAACATATCCTAAGGTGAGGGGGGAAAAAGATAGTTTTACTTCTTCCTTTCTACTCTATATGCCTTTTATTTCTTTTACTTACCTTATTGCACTGTATGTGTCCTACAGTAACAATATTGAATAGAAGTGTTGGGAGTTGGCATCTTTGTCATGTTTCAGATGTTACAGTCTCGTCTTTCATTAATATGATAAAGGTTTTTGTTGTCGATTGAGGAAATTCCTTTTTATTCCTAATTTGATGAGAGTTTTTATGATGAATAGGTATTGGATTTTTGTCAAAGGCCTTTTGTGTATCAATTGATTTGATCATACGTTTTTTTCTTTTTAGACTGTTAATATGAATTACATTGATTTTAAAAAAAAATGTTAATTGGACTTTCCATTTCTTGGATAAAACCCTCCTATACATTTTATAAATAGTTGGTTTGGCTGGTCCGAGTGCAGTGGTGTCTTATAAATAGTTGGTTATAGGTTTTTTTCTCTTTTTGTAATGTTTTTGCCAAAGAAAAATGAGAAGTTTTCACAAAGCAGTTCTTGCAGCATACCAAAGTACAGAGGTTGTCTGGAGTTTGGAAAGCACTTGTGCAATTGTTTGAGCCGTGAACTGAGCTTGCCCACTCTTTTTGTGGAACATCATTTTTACTTGAAAGAATGACTGAATAACTGTGGTTATTCAGCCTTGAATATTTTAGACATTTTCTTGAAAGACCGTCAAGGAAAAACAACTGACAGTGTTTGTCACTGATATTACAATTTAAGCTTTCAGGTGAAATTTAGAATTTGGAAAACTTGTCTCTGCTACTGTGAGCTTGATAAAACTTCACAGTGCTTAAGACTTTTCTGATGAGATTGGTGGCAATATTAACAAATATAATTTTACAAAATATTGTATAATAAAATGTATTACATTGGGAAAGTCTGCTGCATAGCTCATTGAACCAGTATTTTGCAAATGACTAAATGATGTTACAAAATTTTTCAAGGGTAAAAGGTCTGTTGAAAGTATAGCATAGACTAATGGATTGAATTGTATCAGAGCACAAAAGTTCATTTTGCAACATTTTAGTATCACAGAAGAATATCCATAATTATTAAAATATTCCTGTTTTATAATATCTATCTGTATTGCAGTCGCTAGACAGATTGCAGAATTAGATATGAGAATCCAGTTGTCTTCTATTAAGTCAGACATTAATGAGATTTGTCAAAATATAAAGCAATTCTGCCTTTTTCCCCAAACTGTTTCCTTTGTGAAAATATAGCTATTTTTATAAAATTTTATTTAGTATGTAAGGTGTCTATTTCCTTTAAATGAGTAAATATAAATATTTTTTAAAATTATTGAGGTTGAATTTTCATCTGACAAATATCCCTAGATATAATCCAAATAAGTAAAAGCTTTTGGGGACCCTGAGACCACAAGGTTTGAAAGATGCTGATCTAGTATAGTGCCTAGCATATAGTAATTAGTAAACATTTTAATGATTCTTGGTCATGTCACTTTTAAAATTAACTTGTCTTTTCAGGTTTATATATAATTGATGTATATCTTTTCTATGTACCTTTCTTTTATACTTTAGCAACCAAGTTTTTCCGTATCTTATCTTGGCACAGTGATTCTCTTTTCCTTGCCGCTGCTCAGGCAGGGCTGTTGGGCAAAGGGTGAGAAGGATTGCTTCAGGGACTGCCATTCTGTTTTGGAAAGTCTAGTGATTTACTGAACAAGAAGAAAATAGATTAGCAGCTCCTGACTCTGACTGAACATGACGTCACTACTGGTATAGACTGGTTATATAAATGGTCATGATTTACATAGTCACAAAATTAGATTTTTAAATAGTTTCAGTTGATTGTACCATGAAATGTAACAAGACAGCTGATATTTAGTGATTGTTACAGATGTCCTGGATACCTTGCCACTAGTATGCATGTCAGTAATATATTTTGACCGTGTTGAATACCTTTATTTTAATCTGTTTAGCTGATAAATTGATATTTTTGGTTAGCCAAAGGGAATACACAAAAGTAGAAGACATGTCTATTTGTTGTAGCCATTTTAGTTTTGTAGGATAAAAATCAAGAAAAGGAAAAGGCAGAATTTTTGTTAGACTTGAATCTGCCTACCAGTAAGTAGATCATGTTCTGGAATTAAATTAACTTCTCTCCAGTCTTTAGCATAGCATTTCAAGTGAAAAAAATATAACCCATTAAATGGGATTCTAGTATACTGCTTAATTTATCCTAGGCAATCTCTCTATGTTTATATATCTAGTATCTTCAAAATTGAGAATGTCTGTGGAAAAACACTGAAAAAATTCCTTAAAAAGAGGACTTTAGAAAGTCTTATAAATGGGCTCATAATTAACTGGGCATTCGTGAAAATATATATACACACACACACGTGTATATATATACACACACATATATAAGCAGCATTTTCTGAAACAGTTTTGCAATTTCATAAAAATTTGAGAACAGATTAGAAACAATAATAAACCTAAACACTTAAAATAAGAGCATCTACTCTTACTGAATTGCAGTTAAGTTTGGCTTTCTAGCTTTGTTCAGTGACCAGGTGTCTTATTACTGAAAATGTTTATTCTACAGATTCTTGGAGCTCAACTAGATGTTGAATAGAGGGCTGAGTAATATATGACCCCTATAATAGGCATGGAGATATGCAGATTTCCCTTCGAGAAGGTCTAGTCCAGCTGTGAGGAGTGCAGACCAGGTAACCCCTTCTGCCCACATTTAGGATCTACCTTAGCTGCAGAGCCACCTTCCTAAGGCCATGACCTCCCTGGAGCAGCATGCATTTGTACACTGAGCAAGGAAGAGGTATAAAGACCTGACCATTTCAGCCAGTCACAGAGCACTCTGATCCGCAGTACTTGGTATCACAGCTTCCCACCTGGTTGGGTGAAATTTTGTTCGGCCTGCATCACAGTTTAAATTCTGCCCAAACTTGCTTTCTTCAACTTCCTTTCATAGGTATTGATCCCCAGTAAACATATTGTACCCCAAACACCACCTCACCTGTACTTTGGAGAAGCCAGCCTGCTATAGCTCCTGATCTCATGGAACTAATTTATTGGGAGGAAATACATATTAAACAAGAGATTTAAAATATGATCATAGCATAGGGTGCTATGATAGTGTGTATTAAAAAGAACCTAATCCTGGTCATTATATTGTTTAGGGTGGTGGCCTGGATCAGTAGTCAAGACCTAGGTTAGTGCTAGACTAACTACTTTGAGTAGCATGAAACTTGGACATACTATGTCCTCCTTTCCAAGCCAGTGTCTTCATTTGTAATATGGGAATGACACATGGTCTCACCCATGGCCAAAGCAGTTCACGTGGCCAAGTCTTGATTCAAGGATGGAGAAATAGACTTCACTTCCCCATTAGAGAATTAGAAAAATAAGAATAAGAGTATATGTGTATGTGTGTAAAATTTACCAGTATATTGCCTGGTAGTAGTAGTTCACATTTATTGAACATTTTTAGTAAATGATACTTAATAAGATACAGTTGTACTATTATATTTAATGTATTGTATGTACGATCTGTGAAAGAAGAAACATTTGGGGAATTTGGTATATTTTTTTGATATCTTAAAACAATTTTTATGATGGGAACAGTTTGCAAATAAAGCACTCTCTTTTTTTCCTTTGCAGCAAGAAAAATGGAAAACCACCATTACAGAAAAATGAGGTAAATTTTTAAATTACCAACTCTTTGGAATTTTATGCATTTATTTATTTTGTTATATAATTTTGAATTAGGATAAAAATCATAGAATTTTAGAATTGGAGAATTTAAATATCATGTCCATGCCACTACATATTATAGGAATTCTTCCTGAAATAGGAATCCTTGATAAATGACTTCTGGTATTTACTTGAATCTGTTCATTTGTTGGAGAGTACCTAGGGTGCAAACATAGCTATATTAGTTCTAGCCCATGATGAGATTAATCTTTCCCCTCTGGGTACTTACTGATGGACTATGCCTTTTGCAGCAATGCAGGGCAAGTCTACATTGTTTTCTCTGATAGACTCTCATGTTGTTTGAAAACACTCCGTGCTCAGCAGCTCTCTCTTTTTTTTTTAAGTGTTTCTGACATGGTTTCTGATTCTTTTTCAATTCTCTATTCATTCCTCTGGACCTATACTTATTAGTTTCTCTAGACATTATACTTAGAATATAATGCAGTTGACCAGACATGGTCCGACTAGCATGGAATATATCAGCACTCTTTCATCTCTTAATATGAGCACCATATTGCTAAAAGGCAGGCAAAAATTGCTTTTACTCCTTTAACCATAACTGCTGTTTACATTAAGTGGAAAATGAGTAGAAGGAAGTAAATAATGAAGATCAGAGCAGAAATAAATGAGAGTCAAAAAAGAACAATACAAAAGATCAGTGAAACCAACAGCAGATTCTTTGAAAAGATAAACAAGATTGACAAACCTTTAACCGGACTCATCAAGAAAAATAGAGAGAGGACCCAAATAATAAAATGAGAAATGAAAGAGGAGAAATAACAACTGACACCAAAGAAATACAAAGGATTATAAGAAAATATTACAAACAACTGTATGCTAGTAAATTGGACAATCTGAAAGAAATGGGTTAATTTCTAGAAACATACAATCTTCCAAACCTAAATCAGGAGGAATCAGAGCTAAATAGACAGATTACAACTAGTGAAATTGAAGCAGTAATCAAAAAACTCCCAACAAACAGAAGCCCTGGATGGATGGCTTCACAGGTAAATTTTACCAAACATTCAAAGAAGAACTAACACCTACCCTCAAACTATTCCAAAAAATAGAGGAGGGAAGACTACCAAGCTCATTTTACTAGGCCATTATTATCCTAATCCCAAGACCCGGTAAAGACACTACAAAAAAAGTTATAGTTCAGTATCGCTGATGAACGTAGATGCTAAAGTCCTCAACAAAATATTAGGGAACTGGACATTACATTAAAAAGATCATACACCATGATTAAGTGAGATTTATTCCGGGGATGCCAGGTTGGTACAATATCCATAAAACAACAAACGTGGTACATCACATAAGCAAAATGAAGGATAAAAACCACATGATCACATCAAGAGATGCAGAAAAATACATATGATAAAATCCAGCACCCATTTATGATAAAACTCAGCCAAGTGGGAATAGAGGGAACATGCCTCAATGTAATAAAGGCCATATATGACAAACCCACAGCCAACAACATACTCGATGGGCATAATACTACAGGTTTATGGTAAATTATAACTTTCAGGTATCATTCTGATGAACCAGTCACTTGACAGATCCCCAACAGCTATATTCGGCAATTCAATTCTTCATTTCTTTTTTTAAATAACAGTTTTTATTGAGGTATAATTTATATGCCATAAAATCCATCCATTTAAATGTACAGTCCAGTAGTTTTAGTTGTGAGACTATCACCACTAATTTTAGAAAATTTTCATCTCCCCCAAAAGAAATACTGTACTCATTAGGAGTCATTCCTCATTATCCTCTCTTTCTGGGCCCTGTCTACCACTAACCTATTGTCTCTACTGATTTTCCTATTTTGGACATTTCATATAAATGTGGTGTTCTGTGACTGGCTTCTTTCACTTAGCATGATGTTTTCAAGTTTCATCTGTGTTATTGCACAGATCAGTACTTCATTCCTTTTTATTGATGAATAATAGTATTCCATTGTGGAGACATACCACATTTTATTTATCAGTTGAGGGAAACTTAGGTTGTTTCCATTTTGGGGCTGTTATGGATAATGCTCCCGTGAACATTCATGTGCAAGTTTTTGTGTGGACATATGTTTTCATTTTTCTTGGGTATATACCTAGGAGTAGAATTGCCAGGTCATATGGTAACTCAGTTGATTTATTTGAAATAAACATTAATTTTCCCTGTAAATGTCAGGTTATTGGGTCTTTACTATTAGTTTGTACTTTACGATGTCTCTACTATTATACATATTGTACAGTATTGCTATTATATATATTATACATGTTATACTATAATCTGTCTATACCGTTAGTATAATTTTGAATGTAATTCTAACCTCTAGTCTGTTAGATAGCCGGTATTATCTACAAATGTAATTGAGCCGCCTCTTTCTTTGTTAAAATTGCTGATAGTATTGACTAGGTAAGGAAGGACCAATGAGATTACTCTGTGGCATCTCTTAATCTTTTTTTTTTTTTTTTATGGTTATGTTTTATTCAGCTATGACTATATTCAACTGTAGCAAAATCTGGTCCTTATTTCTCCATTAAGGCCACAATAATTTTATAAGAACATCAAATTCCTTGATTACTTTTTAATTCACTTATTAATCTTTCAACAAATACTGAGTCTCTTATATACGCCTGGCATTGTTCTTGGCTCTGGGTGTATAGCAGTTATAAAAGTGAGTCCCTATCCTTGTGGAGCTTATATCGTACGGTTCCTTGCTGTGGTGGCTGAGAGCAGACATACGACCGGAACGGTAAAACTTTGGTGGCTGAGAGTAGACAAACGACTACAAAGGGTTAAATATCTTTAGTGCTTTTCCTCCACACTGACAATAAAGCCTAAATCCTTTCTGTGGCTTTTACCCTCTGTCCTTTACAAGCCCTTTCCTACTTTCAGCTTTCTCATTTTTGTCCCCTTTGCTCTGGCACTGCTATCATCTTGCTCCACTTTTATTTCCTCCACTGGGTTTTTCTGCTTGGTATCCCCTGTGCTTCACTACCCTCCTCCCTCCAAGGCTATCACATAGCTTCACTGTATGTCTCAGCCAAAATGTCACCTCCCCAAAAGGACCTTTCTCATCTTCCTATCTGAATCATTTATTTTCTCATGACCCTGCCTACTTGGTCTGTAACAATTTATTTATTAGTTTATTTTTATCTGCTTCTCCTGCCCTGTGAGCTGTATGAGTGAATAAACCTTGTCTGTCATTGAATTTATGAGGAAGAGAGAGTGAATTGGCAGATTGCATATTGGAAATGCTAAATGATAAATTTCGGAATCTACAGGTTCTCTGTAATTGATACCAGGGAAATTCATGTTCAAGATAAAATAAAATAAAAGCTTACTGTTTTTGGCAACATCTTATTTTCTTGAAAGCATGTTTGAATATGAAGAGCAGTACAAACCTGTATTCTCTAAATGTAATGTCATCTTGATAGTTGTTTACATTGACTGAGATGATACATGGTTCTTTAGTCTTCTTGAAGATTTGTTATAGCTATATTAAAATCTTTTTCTTTTTAAAATGTAGAAAGAAGGAAAAAAAGAGCGAGCTGTGGTGGACAAGATGTTTTTTTCAAGGCTCTCACGGATTCTGAAAATCATGGTCCCTAGAACATTTTGTAAAGAGGTAAGTCTTATGAAATTGTAATATTAAGTGTTCAACTTTAAAGGTTACATGAAATTGGAACAATAAAATTATAAAGCTTTTGTTATACTATAGTCAAATGTTTTCTATATGGGTAATGAAGACTACTAAATTTTTGTCTTTAAATCATTGTCTGTGACGCAAGTGTCCTTGTTCAATGCCAGTTTTAAAATAGTTTTCTCTTGTTTATGAAATATTATTATATTTTATGTAACATTCTAGAGTACTTTAGTACAGCTACCCTAAGTCTTGTTGCTCTATTATAATGTAATGAAAACAAGATTAAACTTAGAAAGACAAATCATTTTATTAAGATGTTAAGTCACATTGATATGGAATATGTTTGAGGGTTACTTTTTTATATTTGACTAAATATGTTTTATTTACTTTTAAGTTATTGAATTTATTGGCATGACATTGGTCAATAAAATTATTAAATATGTTTTTAAGATACCAGAATGATATCTGAATTTTCAGGTATTTTCAGTAAGTGAGCAGGCTATAGGAATAAAGTTTTATTATCCTTTCCTTTGCCCTTTTATCAAGATTATCTTTATTTGATAAGTATTTTTAATGATTAAAAATAAAATAATGCTGTTTTCCATCTTTGATCACGTCAATATTTTCCTTTTTTACAATTAAAAATATCATCACCTTTGACTCTTCTCCGCATACCTCAGCCTTTCAGTCACTGGGATCTAACAGTTTTTCCCCTAAACATTCTTGCCTGGATGTCACAGTGTTGTTTAATTAGTCTCACTCCAAGTAATCTCCCCTTTTAATCTTTTCTGCCAAATTTATCTCTTATAATGTTTCCCATTGTTCAGATTTTAAAAAGCATTTGCCTTGTAATCTATTAACCTCAACAAAAGAATCAGATGCTCCAAAAACATTGTGATTCCTGAGAAGGAACATTCCTCCATCACACTGGACTTGCTCTCCGCCCCCCTCATTTCCGCTTCATGTCGTGGTGGTTCCATCCTTAAGAAGCTCTAAAAATAATAACATTTGTTTATTTCTGATTAGATAGAGATATGTTCTTTGAAGAAAAATTGGAAAATGCAGATTATTTTTCTTCTTGGTGCCTGTAAGCCTCCCACTCAGAGAATTTCTATCATTATTTTGGTGTACAGTCTTGTGTGTGAGCACATAATAAAAATGAGATCACACTGAAACTTTTAAATCTGCTCCCTCCCTTATAGTTTAAATGTTTTTCCAAGTATCCCTGAGTTTCTCTTAAATTAGTCTCTTTCCATTTCTACAGGATTATTATGATCTAATTGGTCTTTTTGCTTTTTCTCCTTTTCCTAACTAGTCTTCTTTCTAAAACCCTAATAAAAATATTTGGCTTTTTTTTTTTCCTTGTAGGTTAAATCACAACCTGACTTTGATCTTCCTTTTCACTATCATCTGCTTAGAAGATTCTTTGCTGTGTTTTAGTCAGGCTGTGTGCTGTCATGGCCTCATGTCTGTGACAACCCGGGCCCCCACCCCAACAAAAATAAATATGTTTAAAAAATAGCATAATGCTCATTATCTTCTTTGTGAAGGTTTCCCATGACTCTTCAGGCATAATTAATCATTTTCTCATTCCACAACTTACCTGACTTTGGAGAGTCCTTATTTAAAATACAGCTTCTCTGGAAAGATTTGTATATTGCCCCCCTATGAGTTAACAGCATATACTTATTTAACTGCTTAGCAGGGGTTTGCTGACTATAAAATTAATGTGAGACATTGGATAGCTCTCTGGGAGTTAGTAAGGAGGTAGAAGGGCCTAACTTGGCCAACCTCCCAGTTTTGTCTAGGTGTAGCCATGCCACAGAGTTATTTTATGAACCATTTTTGAGGGATATGAAAATTCAAGTTTAACCCCAGTTCAAGAAAATGAAATAAACTCCTGTAGAAATCACAAAAGATTGGAGGTAGAGAAAGATTAACTGATTTATGAAATAGAGAAATGAAAATACTATATACAAAGATATGGAAGTTCCTGTATATCAGACAGTGAGGGAGAGCCTAAATCAGTGCACATCTTCAATTTCTGTCACAGTCTACGAACCCATTAATAATGGGAATAGTGGTGATTCTAACAACATCCTTTGTATAAAGGTATTTCAGGGCTGTCCATAATTAAAGTTTGCCAGATTTTGCTAAAGTGAGACAAGTAAACTTGATACTTGTGTTTAAGGATGAATTAAGCCAAGAACATAAATGAAAAAATACACTATCTTGGTCTGATGTTACCTTTTATACCTCAAATGATTAATTTAGGATTAAGACTGTATGTAAGGTCTGAATTAAAAGTTAGCATTACAGTTAAAGTGACATACAGACAACATTTATTAAAATCAGTAAGTTCTTCTCTTGTCAGTGGAATACCTAACTTTGAGATGGTTTCATAGGGTAGAAAGATGGTATGTTTCTTTCCAGCAAACACTGGGGTAGCAGCTGTCACAGCTCAATCACACACTTTTTTTCACACTGTCTTTTCTTGTGGCTTCATTCATTTTTTCTGTGTTTATGACTCCCTGCCTTGTCTTTCGCTTAAAGGGCTATATTTTCAGTACCTTCCCCTTTTTAAAAAAAGTATTTATTTTGCAAAATTTACATAAGTGTTAGGTGCAATTGCCCCTCAATTCCATAACTTTGAAATTAAGCACATTATCCAACAAATGTCCCCCTTGCCACACACCTGCGCCCCTGACTTGAGCTGTGTTACTGTCATATTCTTCCAATTTAGGTTTAAGGCCAACTTTGAATGTGTGTTGGAGGTTGGAGAGTAGATTCTTATCTTACACAGAGATATTGGATTCCTAGCCAGCCACTTAGTGTCTCATCTCTTCCCCCTTGATAATCCAGCATTGCTTCAGTAATGTTTTCTAAACAACACTTTCAACATTTTGTTCTACCTAGAAGCTTTGAATAGTTTTATATTGTCTAAACTCTGCTGGATATGCTATACCATAATTCATACAGTTTTAATCCATTTATTTTTCATGAACTCATCTTTTTTTTTTTTTACTCATAATCATTCTTTCCTTTGTTTTTCTTGGTGTGGTTAATGTATTTCTAATGTCATAACCCTCTTTTGCTACCCTAGACCTTCCCGTCCTGTTACTTAGCACATGAAGTGATGCAAATACACCTACATTGGTCTGTTCTTTTTTTTTTTAGTGTAAATCTTGCCTTAATAACTAAATGGAAAGTCCTGTGAAGGCAGGGGCACTCCTAGAGATTTTCCTAACAAACTGAATCAGACTTATTCTACTTAAGTAAAATTTAATGCTTCCATATTTGTTGTTTAATTATATATTGACAGTTATTGTCATTTTTCTTTATTAGTCATATATTAAAAATACAAGACAATCACAATACATGATGACTCAGGTAATCTAAGTTATACTGCTAATTTCTGTCATTGACCAGTTGTATGAAGGCAAGTCATTTAACCTGCCTGAGATTCACTTTTGAATTCTGGATAAGAAAGATTAAATGGTCTAGAAGGCCTTTTCCATTTATATTTTAAAATTCTTTTAAAATTATATTTTAAGATTACGTATAGGTAAAATATCAGCCAACTGTATTAAAGCTAGAATAAAGCCATGAATTTAGAAATCAAAAATCTTTACCAAGGTAATGTTTTTTTTTTAACTTTCTAAAATGCATTTATTTAATTTACTATACCTGGTTTATTTTAGACAGGTTACTTGATACTTATTGCTGTTATGCTGGTGTCTCGAACATATTGTGATGTTTGGATGATTCAAAATGGGACACTCATTGAAAGGTACTTTTCTATTCACCTTCCTCCCATATGTATGAACTACTGATCTGTCTCAAATTAAACAATATCTTAATGAGCAAGAAATAGATTGTAAATTAGGTATCATTACTTAAATTATGTGTCTCTTCATTTACTTTGATATTTATTGAGCGTCTCTCATGTGCCAGGAACTCCATGATAGAGATGTACTTGTGAACTGGAGAGACCCTCCCTGTACCGAGCCCTGACAGTTTTATAGAGGGTTAGAGACAAGAGGAGAATTAAAATGCTTTATTGGGGGTTTTGAAAAGTCACTAAGTTGGAGGGCTAAAATTAATGAGATTATTTAGAGGAAAATATCAAAGCATTTTAGGGAATCACATTGGGAATGTTGATTAAAAGGAAAAAAAAATTCTTAGACATTTCCTTCATTCTCCGAAGTTAGTGTTTATAGATTTTTTATTATAGTCATTTTACATATTAATTATTAATTACTGCAATTGATAATTTTGGATCTAAACACAAAAATAACATTTATCTATCGATAAAGAATTTATTCTTCATGACACCAATTTGAATGACAGAGTAAAATTTTTTTTGGAAATCTGTTTACTGTATGCAATATTTTATCAGAAAATGTTAAGTACTTAATCTAAGATAACTTTTGGAATGATAGTACTTAAAATTTTTAAATGCTCCCAAATTTTGAAATAAAGATTTTTCTCCCCCTCATATCCTTGATTTGCTTCTTAGAGGATTAGTAGGAAGAGGAAGAATGCTTTCTTCATGCCTATGTTTTCTGACTCATCTGTCTAGGAGAATAAAGGTTATCCGCATGGGCTTAAAGCCCTAACCACATGCCTCTGAATATGGGTAAATTGTGTAGGCTCCTATATTCAACACAGGTCTCCCTGAAATCTGTGGTCAGTCCTGGGCTTCTTAGTTTTAATCAAGTAATATATGAACAGCTTAAAATGCTATGTGAACATAGCTTAACATCAGATAGCCTTGCAGGAGTTAGTCACAAATGTATCAATCCTGTGCACCATTCCTCCCACTCATAACTGTCATTCCTAGAGCCAGTCATTTTCTGTTCTTTTTTATGTTTCATCCCTTATTTTATCTCTGGACTTCAGTGTGACATACTTGTGTTACTGTTTCTAGATCTTTCAGTTTTAGAGAGTATGTATTTATTTCCTACTTTGGAAGATGAGAATTAGCTCTTCACATTGTTACCCATGCCCATGCTCATCTTCTCAATGTTGTTATATTGCAATATTTTATTAAATGAATTTATTGTTTACATGATTTTAACTATTGTTTATGGGCCAAGCCACATGTCATATTTTCGGTAGTTTCTTTTATATACAATTTTTTGTTTTTCCTGGCATTTAGAAATTGCAAAGTTTTGTGTGCTTTAGGTTTTTGCCTGCTTCTTACTAATTCAACTCAAGCTTATTGACAACACTGTAAAACCTTCTCAGTATTGTAATATGGTCAAACACACCAAATAATCTATTGATTTTATTTCTCTATTACTACCCACCCTGTGCTTCTTGTTAATTTCCTGCCTTCCTGCTCTAATCAGGATTGATTGCATTTTAGGCCCACTAAATAGCAATCATGTTTGAATATGCTTTTATCATGATTTTGGGAGTGTCTTTCATGTTTCTCTCCTGCATTAAATAATCTGTTTTCTGGATCTTTTGTTTTCCTCTTCCTCAGTTTACATTCTCGTTTTGGCAGATGCAGTCTTTTTCTTAGAAAGGGTATAAGGAAAGAAATTTTTGAGACCTTTTAGATATGATAAAATCTTTTACTCTAACACTTGTTGGTAAAATATAGCTATATTTATACATTCCAAGCTGGAAATTACTTTTTGTCAGAATTTGGAAAGCATCACCCTATTGTCTTTTATAGAACTGACTAGTTCTCAACCTTTGGAAGTTTTTATGATCATTTTATTGGTGTTGGATTGCTGGTGTTTGGGAACTTTATTGAAGGTTGGTGTAATTTTAAAATTTTGTTTTCATTGTGCTGGGCATGAGGTGGGTTCTTTTCAACCTAGACAGTCATTCTTCCTCTCCATTTTTTTCTGTACTTTTCCTGGAATCCTTATTAGTTGAGTATTGGGCCCCGCTGGATTGATCATCTGATTATGTTATAATTTCTCTACTGGTTTTATTACTGATATTCATTCTATATTCTAGGAAGTTTCTTTTAACTTTGTCATCCAGAGAACTTTTATTTTTATTATATTTTTATTTCTAAGAGTTATCTTTTTGTATAGACGTTAATTTTTATAGCATTCTTTCAGGTCTGTGACTTTGTTCGTTTGTTTCCTTCATGATCCTTTCTTTGTCTGTTCTGACCTTTGCCCTTCTTGTTAGAGGCTTTCCTCAAGCAGTTTGCCACTCTTGGTGGCATATTCGTATTTCAAAGTGAAGGCCTAGAAATCTTGCTAGAAGTCAAGTTTGAGGACTTGTTGATGGTCTCCCAGGTTTGTAGGTGTTTGTGGGTAGAGTCTGATCCATTTTATGTCTGTGAGCCTCTAACAAATTCTAAGAATTTCAGCATAAACATAGTTCAGAGTTCATTGTTGCTAGCATATCAGCTTTCGGAGGATTGATTTTATTGCTAAGTTCTGTTTTTACAAGCTGTGTGTGCAAGTAATTTGAGTCCTTTATATATTTAATGTAGAGAAAACAGTGATGCTCCTTTACGTTATTATAGAATTTTATGCTTTTTTCTTTGGTGGCTTTATTATTTATTTATTTTTTAAAAAGATGTTTTTATTGATTTCAGAGAGAGGAAGGGAAATGGGGAGAGAGACAGAAACAGTACTGATGAGAGAGAATCTTTGTTTCGGCTGCCTCCTGCACCCTCCCCCACCACCCTCGATCAAGCCTGCAACCCAGGCACATGCCCTGATGGGGAATCGAACCATGACCTCTTGGTTCATAGGTTGATGCTCAACTACCGAGCCACACTGGCCAGGCGGTGGCTTTATTATTTAAATGCCATATCTGTTAATAAAAATACAGACTCCCCAACTATTACGTGTGGCAAAAATATATAGGTTACATCCATATGAGTAACATCATATTAAATATCTGTGTAGAATTCATCACATATTACATATAAAAACCCTGCACAATCATGGTATAGTACAGAAGATTAGCTTATTTTTAAAAGTTTTCCCTTTTATTCAGATTTTGTGATTTTATGTTTTTGTAATCCAAATATTATTTACCTCTTCTAAACTAGAGATTTCCAACTTTAAGTGAATAGATGCCAATAAATATTTTCTCAAATTCTTACTATCCTGTAGAAAATGCATTGCTAAGAGTATGTAGTGCAACAGAAAAGTTATTATGTAGCATGAGCAGCCTATAATTCTAGATTAATCATCTTCTCGGGTACTAAGTTTTCAACTTTAGTTATGAGATGGGGAAAAATTGAAAAACAACAAAAAAGAGTCTCTAAAAAACTTACTTTGATACAATTTAAACTTACAGAAAAGTTGCAAGAATAGTACAAGGAACTTCCTTACACTCTTAACTCAGATTTATCAATAGTGAAATGGTCATTTTAAAGTTAACTAACTTTCTCCTTAAAAAATATTTTTGAGCTTCTGGTATAGCAGAAATGTGAAATATTTGATAATTGGTCAAATTATAAGTTTTAAAATATGTGAATTCATAATAGGGAACATTATTTGAAAAATTTATACACTTCTCTAACTTGCTACTAAAGCTACATTGTAAATGGATTTATCTGTCATTTCCCTTTTCCAAAGTAGGTTTAGATTCATCTGTTTCTGCTGTGGTCCTTAGTGTACTTCATTTTAATATCCTTTACACCTTTTAGGCTTATTTGTTAGCAGTGGCTAATGATTTTGGAATGTGGACACACTTTAATAGGTCCGACCTTTTCTTTAAGAAACTGTGGTATGGAGAAACATAATACAGAGGAGAACCCTTCTGTCTTGTTGCTGTTATATGTAATCACCAATATATATATTTTACTTTCATCCATTTGGCTATAAGCAGCATCTTTTTTTTTTATAAGATTCTTGTATGTATTGAAAGTAATAATGACTGGGGCTACTATAAAATTCTTCTTCATTATTATTTTTTTGCAGTGGAATAATAAGCAGAAATAAGGCTTTATTCAAGGAACCATTTTTTAAATTTATAGCTGCTATTCCAGTGGTAAACAATTGCTGAATGATGGCATGGGTTTTAACAAAGTTTTATAATTTTGTGTGTTCTGCAGCTTGGGCAGCACTAAAGCACTTGGTTTTATGTAAAGTTTGTTTCAAACAATTTTAAATCTCTAAACTTTTTGTTCTGTCTTAATTGCTTTGTTTCTCTAATATTCTTATTGCTATAAACAACATTTTTGTGTGGTTCTATTTTGACTTTTTTCTAGCTCAAGGTAAATTTTTTCAGACTTTTTAGCAGTTGTATCAAAATTGGACTATTAATTCTTCTATCAGTCTAAAGTATTATTTCCCAAAGTATGTCCTGTGGAATGCTAGTTATGACAGAGGAAATGCTACATGCTACAAAGCCCTCCCAGAGAGTTACAATGCACACAGTATACATTAAGTGCTTTGAGAAGGTCTTCGGTAAAGACATTTGTTAGATTTGTTTAACCCATGTTTTCCCGAATTTATTTGGCCATGGAATTATTTTATTTTATTTTCTCTAAAAGACCAGCCAACATTATTTGGCATTTATTCACTTACTCTTTCATAAAAAGCAAATTATTTCTCTGTCATATACCCATCATTTTTGTGTGTGTGTGGAGTTAGGTTTAAATAATTGTGTGTAGTATTTTTCAAAATATATTTTATTTATACTTGGGAGTATTAATAAATGTTATTTGATGAAAGAGTGTGATCAAATAAATTATCTTTTTACTGGATCATAGATGTATGGTACTCAAAGATTATTTATTTATATGATATTAATGGCTTTCAGACTTTTTTTTTAAAAGTAGTGGAACCCTTTAAAAGTTCTTAACGATATTTTAAAAACAAATAAATATGTAAGATTGATCAAAAACATTTAAAAAAGCGGAGCTGGTTTAGTTGAAGTGTGTTAACAGACCTCGAGGCTCTGGGGACCCCTACTGATCTACTTTCTGAGTTACTTAGTCCCAGGGTCAGCAAAGTGGACCTGTAGGTCAAATCCCAATACCATCTGTTTTGGTAAAATTTTGTTAGGACAGAGCCAGTTTCATTCCTGGCTGTTTTTGCTCTGCAATAGCAGGATTGAGTGTTTGCAACAGAGACCCTGTGACCCACAAAGTTTAAACTATTTGCTCTTGACCTTTTATAGTAAGAGTTTGCTGATCTCTCATTAGTCTAGGTCTCTAGAGATTAATTCTACAAATGTGTTCATACAAGTGAAAATCAGAATGTTAAAACATTTTAAAAACAAAGAAATACTAGTTTGTTTTATCCATAGTAACCCATTCTGGGGTCTGTAAAGTTAATTGTTTTGCCATCTAACCCCCTTTTGTGGCAGCCTAAGCCTTTTTAAAAATTACCATTTTTACTAAGGAAAGAACTAGTTACTATTATTTAATTTTGCTATTTATATAGAGTGATTTTCAAGCAAGCTGTTTAAAATGATAAAATTTCAAAAGTTGGAAACATGTTTTTGTAAGAAAATATTTAACATCTTTTTTTCTTATTGATTCTTTTGATTCAATAAAAACTTCCAAGAGTAATTTTACAGCTTTTCAGAAGTTTTCTTAGTGTAAAATATTGCTTCTTTGCAACTAATGCATTGCATGTGGTGGTTTGCAGTGGTATCATTGGTCGTAGCAGAAAAGATTTCAAGAGATACTTATTCAACTTCATCGCTGCCATGCCTCTCGTAAGTGGAATTCTTTAAATTTACACAGGGAAAAAATTGCATCTTCTGCAAATCTTTAAGGATATTTACTTATTAAGTTCTTTAAAGATTTATGATACTAAGTTCCTATTTCAAATTTAGTTTTGTAACTTGTAGTAGAATATTTCAGTGTAGATCTTTACACTAGATAGAAAAATTAAAAGGAGGTATACATATGTGGAGTTTTTATTTTTTAAGCCAGGGTTTCTCGAATGTTTAGTAGCATCCCACTAAATGGCAGTAGTACCCCCCCTTCCCCTAGTGTGAGAACCAAAAATGTCCCCATGAGGCTGAAGTTGGGGGGATGGTGGGGAGGGCAAAATCACCGTGATTTAGATTTATTGCTTTAGGTCACAACCACTGATGTAGTTTAAGTTAAACTGGAATTTATTATTTGAATTTATTAAAAATAAAGGTGGGTATTTGATCTAAATTATAAGTGATTTTCTAGCTTGGGTTTTTATTCTATTTTATTGACACTATAGGAATTTTAGTATTTTAAATGTGGGAGTTAAAAGGAGGAGCTTGATTGTAAAATCCAATTAATATATGTTAGATTAAATAAAACTTGAGGATGGACATACATGGTTTTTAGACCTTTTTTTAGACCTTTTAATATAAAAAATGGAGATAAGTAGCTTAGCTATCAGTCAAAACTTGAGATTCAGCAGAAAGTCAGTGTTTTCTTAATAAAAATTTTATGTAAATATGACTTGGAACTATGGAAGAATTAATTTCAATATAATGATGGAAAAGAGTGGTAAATATGACTCTAGATATAATCTGGAAAATGACGTAGTAGGTATAAGACTCATACTACCTTTTTAAACAAATGCAGATGCAATGTGTATAGAATTCCATTGTCTGGGGTTGGAACGCTGGTAGTCAGAAGCAGAAAGTATAAACATAAGTGTCAGAACTTCTAAAAGAAATCCTTTACATTAGATAGAAAGGTGACAGATTTGGCTTTTTTTTCCCTACCAAAAAAAAGATAGCAAGAGATGTCTCATAATTAATGATATTAACATGTTCTAAAATTAAGTTCCAAGTAAAGTTTAACATATCAGGATAATAGAGCCTTTCGTTTAGCATGTTCTCTTGTATCTATAAGTTTTAAGTAAAACAGAACCGAATTATATAAATCTGGACTATTATAAAAACCATAGGATTTGGGGACATAGCCAATGACAGAGAAATAAAGTATGATTTAGTAAGTAGAAATGAAGCAAAATCAATAATATGTGTTTGTTTGTTTTAGATCTCTCTGGTTAATAACTTCTTGAAGTTTGGGTTAAATGAGCTCAAACTGTGCTTCCGAGTAAGGCTAACTAAATACCTCTATGAGGAGTATCTCCAGTAAGTAATAACTCATTTTTATATTAAAATACTTAAATTGAACAGTAATACTTATGATATTGAGATGTAGAAGATTTTCTTTTTTGTTGGCTATGTTTTCAAGAAAATTGCTCTTAGACCCAGAAATATATAGGAAAGACTCAGTATTTAGAGTCTATAATTCTGGCTCTTCCGTTAATTGGCAAGTCATCTTTCTGTAGACTTGCTTCCTCATTTTTAAAGTAAAGTAGGACAATCTCTGGGACCTCTTCCAGCTCCAAACTTTTCTGTTTCTATTAATTTGAACTATGTAGTATAATGTGAGTTTTTAAAAAATGTCATTTGTTTTAAAGTCATTTTCTTATTGCTATTTTAGAGCTTTCACATATTATAAAATGGGAAATCTGGACAACAGAATAGCTAATCCAGACCAGCTCCTTACACAAGATGTAGAAAAGTTTTGTAACAGTGTAGTTGATCTGTATTCAAATCTTAGTAAGGTAAGTTTCTCAATTTTTTTAATTATTTGTTAATTTGTTGAATTTTGAATCTAAGCAAATTTATGTAGAATTGTTTTGATGGATATAATAGCATCATGTAAATATTTAATGCTTTTATAAGAAAATTAAAGTTATAATAGTTTTAACTACAATTATTTAATTTTTTATATTATTTTTATGAGGTGCTTTAGCCAAGAACTGAGAACTTAGTGTCTTATAAAGATTTCATAAGAATAAGTGCAGGCAGATTTCAGTAAAACAACAGAAATTTACATTTTTCTCTTTTGATCTGTGTACTTTTAGCAATTGTTAAGAGCTCTGCTGTCAATTTATATTTCCAGTTCTATGTCCATTAACATTAGGCTAGCACTTCTTTCTGCTCATTTCTCCCCTTTACTATCTCTAATTCTATTAGATCATTTAAATAATAGTAAAAATTTTTTCATAAGATATTAATTTATTTCTGTTTTCTAATTACTGTTCCTCCCCCTTTTCAGAATATGGCCAAAGCTCTTCATTCAGATGATGGACCTTAACCAGTTTTTCATGCTAATTTCCTCAGTTCTTTCTTTTTTAAATAGATCTTTATTGATTTCAAAGAGAAGAAAGGAGAGAGAGAGAGAGAGAGAAAGATAGAAGCATCAGTGATGAGAGAGTCATCACTGATAGGCTGCCTCCTGCACGCCCCCTACGGGGGATCGAGCCGCAACCCGGGCATGTGCCCTGACGGGGGAAATCGAAGCTCGATCTCCTGGATCCTAGGTCGATGCTCAACTGCTGAATCCCGCCGTGCCAGGCTCCTCACTTCTTTCTTATCTCACTCATCTCATCTCACCACCCTTAGATCTTTTGCTCTAGTCTCCTTAAGCCATCTTCTTTGCCATTACCTCCTGCATTGACTAGGACATGTAGCCGAAACCGCTCTTCATTTTAGATGATGCTCCATTTCCCACTTCAGTGCACAGGGTTGCTGTTGGTCTGGTGTGGGAGCTTCTCTCAGACTGGACCATTTATAGTATCTTTGCCTCTGGCCACAATTGATCTAGATATCCATATACAAGGGGCTTGGTCACATTGTAAGAATGGGAATGCTCCGCTTCAACCACATGGATGGAGGGAGGATAGGCAATTCTTAGAAAGGTGAAATGTATCCACAGAAGCTTTACCCCTCATGATAAGCCCAGTACTAAAATACCTTTTTACTTCATGCCAAACCTTGTTCTTTATTTTGCTCTCTAGAAGCCTTTGCTAACTGATTCCAAACTCTAGAAACTCTGACAACTACAAAGTGTTCAGTAATTTAGCTTTCTTTTCTGCTCCTATTACCACGTTTATGTATTTATTTATTTAATTTATCTTTATTTTTGAAAGTATTACAGATGTCTCCCTTTTTTCTGCCTCGCCCCCTCACTCCTGCCCCTCCCCTAGGCCTACTGCACTATTGTCTGTGTCCATGGGTTATGCATACAAGTTCTTTGGTTAACCTTTTCCCGCCCCCCTCTCCCTCCCCCCTTCCCTCTCCTGTCTGAGATTTGTCAGTCCATTACCACATTTTAAAGTTTGTTCTATATGCATGTGAGTATGTGTGGGGGAGTTATATATAAAGTTTCTTATGTAATTCTGTAGACTTCTAGTCTTTACATCTTGGCACTTGAGCAAGTCTATACCTCAGGTATGGCTACATCTTCAGTAGGGTGAAATATTAAGTTAATTGCTGTGCACTACAATATATTTACTTTTACCATTATCTAATTGTTTGAACTCTGACTTAAATTATGAGTCATTTAATCAACTTTTAAATGTATTTAAATTTCACAAGTATGTCCAGCTTCTTGATAATTTATAAGGCAAAAAGAAAAGGTTCATCTTAGTACATGCCGATTAATAAACCAAGCCACCTATCCGAGTAATTTAGATACTAGTCAGAAAGGGGAGGCTATAGACTTAAGTGAATGTGCACAATTTGAGTTTCTTGAAAAACACTTCAAGAAACACTTTTAGCGCCCTGGCGGGTGTAGTGCAGTGGTTAGAGCGTTGGCCTGTGCATCTAAGGGTTGTGGGTTCACTCCCTGCCCCTAGTCGTGGTGTGTGTGGAAGGCGCTCATTGATGTGTCTCTCCCACATTGATGTTTCTCTTTCCCCGTCTCTCCAACCCTCCCACTCTCTCTGAAAGCGATGGAAAAAATATCCTTGGGTGAGGATTTACAAAACACGCACATACACACACACTTTTAGCATGTCAGTTGAGCTGTCTCTGTGTGAGGATCTTAATGTATTGTTTTAGTTCAGAAATTTGAGTTTTATATCAGAAAATTATATTCATAGATAGGCTTACTCAATTATTTCAACATATAGATATGATAAAATAATAGAATCAAACAGTATTAAGAACTGGAAGAGCCTCATTTTTACAGGCGAAGATATATAGAAACCAGAAAAGCTAGTAGCACATTTGGGGTTACAACTCGGGCCATTTTATTTCGTGTTCTTGCACTATGTTGAGAAATTACTTAGTTACTAATGGTCAGTTATCACAGTAGAGCTACCTTAGTTGATGAAAAGCAGTAAGTGTTTTTCCCACTTGTCAGTAGGCATGGGTCAGGCTGTCTTCACTTTTTGTTTGACAATAAGAACTGTGTTTTATGTAACCATTAATCTACATGCTGTTACAGCATATTATACACAGAGGGAACTCTACATGTTAACAATTATGTGTTAGATGTTTAAATAGTATTTTTGTATTTAACATGTTGTATTAGCTATCAGTCTAGGTAACCTAGTTCTTTTTAATTATGTACCTCCTGGTATTTATTTTACAGCCATTTTTAGACATAGCTTTGTATATCTTCAAGTTAACGAGTGCAATAGGAGCTCAGGTGAGTTTATTTTCATTCTGTCTTTTAAGTTACTATCATGCTGTATTGTGAATAGCTGGATAGTTTGTAAAAATATTTTTATATATCGAGAACGTATTTTTACAAGATGTACCTAATAAAATCTGGTTATAAAATAATACTGTACTAGAAATTTAAAAATTATTGTAAGTTGGCTTTTTAATTTTCCTTAAGTCAGATACTTGGAAAACTTTTGTGGTACTGATAACCATAAGTGCAGTGTTTAACATTGAACATACATGTACTAATTGCTGCAAAGAAATGTCTAAAAGGAGATTTGGAGACAGTTATTTAAAAATGAAATTTGAATATTAAAATATCAGAAATATCTTTAGAATGGCTATACCAGTTTTAAGGATATTTTATAATAATATAAATGGTTGACTATCCCATGAGCCTAATTACTGTGTCTCTGATATTTGTGTTGGTAAGAATGACCTTTAAATTTTCTCTGAGTATTCTTATTAAGTTTAACTGTAGTCATTTAATATGTGATATTGTTATAGATTTATAACCATGTGACAGTGTGGTGGTTTCACATATAAATATGTGTACGTGTATATATATACATTTTGTAGTTGATTAGTGAATACTTTATATAGTGGTTTTTGTCCGTTTCCAGAAAGCTGGGAAAAGCAGTTTTTTATTTGAATTTTATTGTCTACCTTTGTAACTTTTTGCTATTATTTCATGATCCAGATTTAATGATTCTTATAGCATGTTTTTTGTTATAAGAAATGAACAGGTCTAATCCCTCTTGTCTCTATGCTGTAATATTTTTTATGGTAGTTACTACATTTTAATAATTCTCTTATCCACCTCTACATTTCTTGAAGGTAGAAACTATGTTTTAGTTATATTTTTGCCCATACTTGTAATTGTTGAAATACATCGAATCAATCATAATTTAATTTAAAAATCTTGAGTACGTACACACTATGTTCCAGACATATTGTGCTAGGTAGTAAGAATAAAAAGATGAGTAAGACAGTACTACTGAGGAGGGATTATGATCTGGTAAAAGAGATAGATAGTCAAGTAGTTACAATGAAGAGTGATAAGTCTAATAACAGAAGTTTGAATAAAGTATTTACTGTTAGAAGAATTGGAGGTGATATTTGAGCTGCTTTGAGGAGGATGAGTAGACATCTGTTAGATAGGCCAGGCTTGCCAGACATAAGAACAACTTCATGGAATGCCATGTTCAGGAAACAGTTATTTCAATATGGCAGAACATAAAATATATATGGGAATGAGGGAAGTGCCTGTGATGAGCTTGGAAAGGTCAGCTTCACCAGTCTTGGAATGGTCAATGGGCGATGAGGTCGCTTACCGAGTTAGAAAGTGTAGGGATGGAAGCAAGATGCATGAGAATAGGAAGACAGATGGAGCTTGTTGAGGGGAACTGAGCTTGAGGCTTTACAGAGCAGTGAGGTGAAGATGAATAGTACTTACTTAGAAATAATGTCTTGGATTCTTAGGAGTGATGGGACTAGAGATACAAATTGGGAGAAGAAAGCTAAGGAAGAAACCTCAGAGAATATTAACATTCAAAGAGAAGGTAAAAAGGAGGTCTGAGTTGTGGAATCTTGAGAAAATGTCAAGAAGTGTTCCATTAGAAGAGTTTTAGATGCCATAGAAAGAGTGATGACTGCAATTAGGAATTTTTAGGTGAGCATATTGTGGAGAGCTGGGGATGAGCTGCAGTGGTGGGAGGAGGAGTAGATGAATAGTAAAAGCTTAGAGGTCCAGTGTGTATTTTTTCAGAAAAGAAGGAGGGAAAAATTAGTCGAAAGATGAATTTCTCTCAAAGTCACGAGTTAACTATAGAAATTGTGTATATTGCGTTCAGTAAATTTATTAGGTATCCTTGAACTTTGTATCTTTCTCTTGCAATAATAATAGGGCCCAGCAAGCATGATGGCCTACTTGCTTGTTTCTGGGCTATTCCTAACTCGTCTTAGAAGACCCATTGGTAAGATGACAATAACTGAGCAGAAGTATGAAGGAGAGTATAGATTTGTTAATTCCCGGCTCATCACAAACAGGTAAGGAGAAATATATTAAACGTATTTAGATTACTAAAAATTTATTTCTACGGATATTGTTATCATGTAAGTTGACTCAAAAATCTAAACACTGTCACTGAAATTATGTGTGTGTATAAATATACATTTTGAAGGATATCAGTTTTATAACCCTTTTCTAATTAACTATGTAGTATATATAATTTGCCTCTTCATGTTTATTGACTAATTTTCTATTAATTTCACTTTAAATGTAGTCAAAATACAATTCAAATTTACTTACAATACTTCAAAAACTTTTGTCTCAGTTTATCCCAAAATATTTTTATTTAAGACTGTGTTTGTAATACTTAGTAATTCAGTCTTACTGCATGTGCCTCTACCTATTATCCACAAAAATCCAAAAATAGGAAGAAAAAGTATTGGGCTTTGGAGCCAGCCTGCCTAGTTTCAAAATCTATCTCTTCCACTTATCTATTATATATTCACTGACTTTCAGCAAGTTATTTATAGCTTCACTTTTCTTGTTTATAATTGGTAGATAACATAGGGTTATTTTGAAGATTAAATATGAAATATATATACAGCTTACAAGATAGTTTTTGATATGTAGCAGGTGCTCAGTAAATTTTCTCATATATTGATCTGTCAACTATGCTATTTTTAGGGTGTTAATATTTATTACCCTGTAGGCATTTACAAAATTATTCTTTTAATAGTTCCCTCTTCCTTTATTTCCTTGGATTGCTAAAATGGTACCAGTTTAAAATAGGATTTTATGCTCTAGGGAGGCAGAAAATAGATGATTGAATAGATAGGTGATTTGCCAAGTGACTGAAAGATGCTATCGCTGAGATTCTTTCTCTTGTAAGAAACAGAAAACCCTGACTCAGAGGGCCCCAACAATAAGGACATTTACTGCTTCACATAAGAATTCCTAAGGTAGAGCAGTCCCAGGCACAGCATCATCAGGGCTCTGGCTCCTTTCTTATGTTCTCTTTGCTCTGCCCTCCTGGTATGTTGCCCCTTTCTTCAGCCTAGTTCTTCCTGTGGTAACAAGATGTCAGAAACAGGTCCAGATCTCATTAACCTTCTTCCCTTGCAAAAGGTTCAGAAATAAAAATGGAGCCATCTCTTCTGCTGTAAGAGAGCAAGGAAATTCCCCAGAAGCCCCACAGCAGACCTTCTCTCACATCTTGTTGGCCGGAACTGTCGTTTGCTCACTCGGGCCTCAGGCAGTTACAGCAAAGTGATTGGATTAGACCGTGTGCAACCCGTCCCCGGTAGATGGGGTGGAGGCCACTACCAGACCTTTTGGACTCACAGAAAAGGACAGATAACTTTAAGAAACTTGGGGCTCTCTTAGGAAAAAGGATGCGGAAGAGAATAGATGTTGGATAGGCAGCCGTCAGTACTCTAGGGTGTCCTGCCCCTTCAGGTTTTACAGTGGGGCTAAAATGAGACTCAGTTTGGGAGAGGTAGAATTCTCATTTCATCTTCCTCCTCCTGCTTAAATGTGCAGAGGAGATCGAAGGGAGTAAGAAACCCACTTATAGGTACAGAATTGTTTCTTAAACTGGATTCTGATTCCTCAGGGCTCTGTATCACTGTGTCAAGGGAACCATAAAACAGGTCAAACATGATGGATGCATCTTTATGGAAAGTTACTTGAAGGGATTTTACTTGAAATAGGAGCTACCTTGTTTTTCTAATGGAGAAAATATAGGCATATTTTGGAGTAGAATAGGTAATTCTCATAAATTACTAAGGAAGAAAAGAGACCTTAAAGAATTACTAGGTGCTTATTGAAGGCTGTTTAAACTGTGACTTCAGGACTGTTCTGTAAATCTTTACTTTCCTCTGCTGTAAGAGGTGCTTTGCTGGGGAAGTTTACATCATACTGAATAAAATGGAAAGACTGGACTAGGGTCAGATATAGTCCATTTTAATCTCAACTGCTTGACTTGCTAGCTGTATGACTTTAGCAAATTTACTTAACTGCACTGAAACTTTCTTCATCTATAAACACATCCTTTAATTTCTAGTCAAGGTCCTTGTGGGCCCATTCAGACCTGTTCAAGAAAACAGAAGTTGTGAGATGTAGTGGGATTCCAAGAATAAGAACGATTGTGCAGCTAGGCTCCTGGGAACTGGCACTGGGAGGCCGAGAGGACTTAGTTTGCTTTGCTGTCTTTCAAACACTGTGTCATGGCATTACTACCCATCTTTTTCTAGCTGTTTTCTCCTCTCCTTCCTAGTTGGGTCTGTACTCAACTTGTAGTCTGTGATGGCTGTCCCTGCCTTGCCTTCTATATATCATGGCCGCTTCCTTCTTATTTCTTATTTCTTTATTCCGATTTCTGAGTATTAGCCCAGCACACTTTTTCCAGCCGGCTACGTATTGCATAAGCAATGTATAGTTGCAGTCCAGTCTATGATCCAGTCGGTATGTGATCCTATGCTCTCATGAGCTGAGCTGGGAGCAGGGTTTCAAGTGCATGCAGACCATGGCTTGAGACTTACCTGGTAAGCTCTTAGTCACAAAATATCCATTTAACTAAAAATATTCAGTCATTAAAATACTGTCTTGCAATTATTTTTTCAGGCTTTGGTAACATTAAAATTAATTGCCAAATTATTTTTTTTAATAGTGAAGAAATTGCCTTTTATGATGGGAATAAAAGAGAAAAGCAGACAATTCACTCGGTCTTCCAAAAACTGGTAAGATAATATGCTTGAGGCTTACGTATTTATGGAAAGATTTTATTTTTCTTTTTGGCTAATGCCAAGTGACAAATATATTGTTTTCATTAAAAAGTATGAGGATAAAAACTATCATATCAATGTATTGTTGACTAGTTATAAAATGGTAGATTTATTAAAATAATTGTCAGTATATTTTACAGAGATTGCATAGGAGTCTTACTTAGTGATAAATTTTGTGAAAATTTGTTCCAGTAACATTCATGAAAATACTTTTAAGATTATTATTTAGAGCAAGAGTTAGCAAACTTTTTCTGTAAAGAACAAGATAATAATACATATATAGTTTAGGCTTTTCAGGCCTGATGGTCTCTATTGAAGGTATTCAACTCTGCCACTCAAATGTAGCCATATACTATATGTAAATGAATGAGTGTGGCTGTTCTAATAAAACTTTATTAACAAAAATAAGTAGCAGGCTTGCTTTAGACTGTGGACCATAGTTTGTTGGTCCTTGATTTAGAATATAAACATTGTTTCTTATGGAAACTATATTTCCGTTTTTATTTATTTGCCACTTGGAAAATTTGAATTCACGTAATATATATTATTCAATCAAAAGATAAAGAGTGCCATCTAGGTGCCTGTGCTGTTCCAGGTGCTAGTGTGTTAACAATGGTGAATGTGATGGCAAAACCCTGCCTTTAGGGAGCTTACATTTTAGTGCAGGCTGGTGAAATTAAATATGTGTTTGAAGTGATTTAAAAAGATTAAAGTGATTGTCATTTAAAATTATTTCATAAATTGAATTTTTGCCTTATTTATATTTAACATGATTTAACTCTGATAGAGTCAGCAAAATGCAGTCTTCACATGACTTGTTTATACATATCCTTTAGATTTCAGCCCAGAAGTTTACACCTTATTGAGGCCTTGCCTTCTCTGGTTGGTCTATCTGAAATGGCCTCCACCAGTTACTTTCCATTTTAATGATCTGTTTCCTTAAAAGCATATATTGCAATTTATAATTGTCTGCTTATTTGTTTATTAGTTTGTCTCTTTCATTAGAATGTAAATCCATGAACTCAGGGACTTTGTCTGCTCTGTTCATCATTGTATCTTCAGTATTGAGCACAGCATGTAGCACACAGCATTCATTGAATAAATGTTCCAGCCATTGTTCTTTTGCACAAGATAGTAAGAGCAAGCTACCTTATACTTAGGAAACCCACATTTGAGTGGAGGAGACAATAAACATATAAACAACTGGACATTTTATATGATTTCAGGTGGTAGTAAATTCTGTGACCAAAAATGTAACAGGTAAAGTGGTAGAATATGATGGAGGCTGTTTCTTGTATATTTTAGCTGGGATGGCAAGAAGGTCTTTCTTGAGAAGGTGGCAATTCATCAGAAACCCCACTTGAAGTGGGGGTGTTAGTGGCCAAATATCAATATTTGGGAAGACAGTATTCCTGGCAGAAAGCACAGCAAGAGGAAAGCCGTAAGGCAGGATCCTGTTTGTGGATGGATGCCGCATTTCTGGAACTCAGTGCGAAGGAGCAAAGTAGATGCAGATGAGGTTTAAGATAGAGCCCAGTGCCCAGTCATGCAGGACCTTGAATAATCCGACAGGTGGATAATGTGAGAACACTGAAAATGCAGGATAAAAGACATTTTTGTAATTGTAATTTTGAGATAATGCATGCTCAGATTAAAACTACAGAGTTGGGCTGTGTGGTGTTAATTTACATGAATATTTGGTTTAGATTGAGTGTATTATCAGTCATCATAGACCAGATGTTTCCAACTAAAGCAGAGCATCGAGTGCCAATCTGGACTGCTAGTATTTCACCTAAATGCGCTCATCTTTTGTTCTTTTTGTTTTGATTATTGATAATCAAACAATAATCAAAACAAAACAAAGCATATATATACCTGACAGTATTGTGAATAAATATCATTCTTCTATTATATACAAGGGACTCCACATTAACATTCTTTATGTAATATCCATTCTGTTTGTATAAAAATGGTTTCATGAAGTGTTTGTTTGGCACCTGCTCTGTGATCAACATTGTGCTCAATGGGATGTGATATACAATGTAATCAGAAATCATATGCATTCAGTAAATATTTGTTAAATAAATATATACAGTTCCTTTTATCCTCATGGTAGATTCATTTTTTTTATATACATAGAAAATAATTATTTTTTTGTTTTTGCTTTCTGCCAGGTGGAACACCTACATAATTTCATTTTGTTTCGATTTTCTATGGGCTTCATTGATAGCATAATTGCCAAGTGTAAGTATGCTTTAAAATAGATGGTGGAATGAGATTTGTGGAAAAAGCGGATATGCTAATATTTTAAATCTTAATTGTTTTGTTTCAGATCTTGCCACTGTAGTTGGTTACCTAGTTGTTAGCCGCCCTTTCCTAGATTTATCTCATCCTCGACATATCAAGAGTACGCATTCAGAACTTCTGGAGGTAAAGTAGTGGTAATAATAATGATAAATTGAAAATTTAAATATAAAAATAAAGAAAACCTAGTTTTTAATCTTAGAAATGTAGGTGAAAACTAATATTTATTTTTATTTAAGGATTACTACCAAAGTGGAAGGATGCTTTTACGAATGTCTCAAGCTCTGGGGCGAATAGTTTTGGCTGGCCGTGAAATGACTAGATTGGCTGGGTAAGTAGGATTAGTACTAAAAAGCAGTTGCAGAGAATTATTTTTTAAAATTATGTTGTCCTTAATGATTGTGCCCAGTTGATTACTGAAGCTGCTACTCCTGGAAGCTGTTTAGATAAAAAATTATGGAAGATTTTTCTCTGATGGTGAACCCTTTATGTTTCCTTTAGATAGTTGTTTCGAGTCTTAAACTAGGCTAGGGGTTCTCAGACTGTTTCATGGACACTGGTATTCAGTAAGCTGGGAAATGATGAATCATGACAGTCTCATTAATTCACAGAAAATTAGGTTAACGAATAGAATCTTCTCATTTGAACTTTCTGTCACCCACTATACTTTTTTTTCTTAAATCTTTGATACTGGTAACCTAGCAAAAGATGAACAAAGATGAAGTTGATATTAATGGAAAAAAATGAAAAGTTGTCTTGTGGTATCTGTACGTACAGTTGTAAATATGGCCATATTTTTTAGTAAAATTGCTCTTAGACCATAAAATGGAATTAAGTATTTCAGTATTTCAAGCTCTAATATAAAGGATTGGTGTGGTATAAAAACACAAAAAAGACTATAAATTTCAGGTCATCTGGAGAAATTGGATGGCTTAAGGCCTGAGATTCATCTGCATATTTCCTCCTCTTTATTGCTCTACTCTCCTCCTGTGGCAGTTAAGGTCTTCACTGCAAGATAGAAGTTGTAGACTTCTCTGCAGAGTCTCTCACTTGAGAATGCCGACATTCTTCCTACTAGTTAATAACTTTCTCTCGCCCTTCCAGTTCATCGCACATGGGTACTTCTGTTCCTTGAGAAGATCGTTGCTTGCTATTCACAGGAAAATCCTGTTTTGTGTGTCTGATGTCGAACGCTTTCTCTTCGACCATTATGTCATTCTTACATGCCTCAACCTCTTGTCCTTAGTTTCGATTTCCTTCTATTGCCACAGTGATTTCTATCTACTATTAAGAACACTTTATCTTTTCCCCTCTTTAGAATAAGAGAGGAATCTTCCAAATCTTCTATGTTTGCAGGGCAGTAGCAGTCATTTGGCATATAGATAAGAAACACCTTCATCAGATAGGCCATCTTTATACCAGGCTTTATAGCTCACTCCAGCGGGAACTCAGGGCCTATGGAATATACTAGTACTAGTCCTTTTGTAGTATCTACTAGAACCTTCCTTAAAATTCTAGCAGTAAACAACCTTCTTACCTACTAAAGAAGTATCTGTTGAGGTAAGACTCTTATGAAACCTCTCCCCTTATCCCCATGTTTCTGCTCTTCTGCTGAAAGATAATAGTAAAACATGCATACTACCACTAATACTTTATGCTGATGAGACTTCTTTTAGGTTATTTTATTTAAACTAAATTATAATTTTAGAAACTTTAGTTGAGTTTGTATAAATTAAAAAATGTGGCCCTGGCTGGGGGGCTCAGTTGGTTGGAGCATCGTCCTGTACATCAAAAGGTGGCAGGTTAGGTTCCCAGTCCAAGCACTAGGTTGTGGGTTTGATCCCTGGTTGGGATGCGTATGGCAGGCAACTGATAGATAACTGATAGATGTTTCTCTCTTTCCCTTTCTCTCTAAAAAAAAAATCAATAAAAACATATCCTCAGGTAAGAAAAAAAAAGATCTGAATGTACACGATGTTATATGTCAATTTTATCTCATAAAAGTAAATAAATAATGTAAAAGATGTGATAGCCTATGGAAATTTGATCATAGCTTTTTTTAAATTTCAGTTTTACTGCTCGGATTTCAGAATTAATGCAAGTACTAAAGGATTTAAATAATGGAAGATACGAACGCACAATGATCTCACAACAAGAAAGAGGTATATATGAATGAACTAGGTCTTACAGTTTAAGTTTTTGGTTTAATACATAATGTGATTATGATACTTTAATACTTATTTTCTATTTAAGGTATTGAAGGAGCACAAAGCATTCCGTTGATACCTGGAGCTGGAGAAATCATCAATGCTGATAATATTATAAAGTACGTACAGCAAAAGGTTCTTTAGCAGCATAAACATTTGTCAAACTATATAGTACCCTTTTCTTTCAGCTACACTTGCTTAGTGTTTAATGTAAAATTATCCATTTTTTAAATTTATTTCTTCTGTAGATTTGATCATGTTCCTTTAGCAACGCCGAATGGAGATATCTTGATCCGAGACCTTAATTTTGAAGTAAGTTTTTAAATGATTGTATAAAAGCTTTTAACTCATCTTCAGAATGTGAAATGAATAATGGTTGTCTGAATATTTAAAATAATTTTAAGGCTTGACTTAAACTCTGAATCCACAAAAGTGCTTTAAAAAGTGTTTGAAATACTTAGAAATCTAATTTTCTTAATTGACAACTTTAGAGTTTCAAATATTACTATCAAAATATCTTTTATTTATCTTTTGCAAATAAAGTCCATGGCTAATGCGACTGAGGAACTGAATTTCAAATTTTATTTAATCTTAATAAATTTGATCTTAAATAGCCACATGGCTAGTAGACAGCATAGCTCTAGAATTACTCTCTTTACACCTATGTATGTGGCCTTCTGTAATTTGTGTTATGTGTAGGGGTTCTTTTCAGTTGCTTTCATTGAAGGAATGTCTGATAGTTTAAAATAAGGAGTACAATTATTGGATTTGTTTTTAAATTGTTATAATCTTATATAAGTCTTCAATTTTCCTATGCTTAGCAATATATATTTATTAAATTCATCTCCACTTTCTTTTTAAGGAACTATAAATGAAAAATGTTAGTTATGCAAAGTACTTTGAACTTACTTAACTGAGTATTGTATATTATATTTTTAAAAGCTAGGAAATACAAGAGGAAGTAGAGAAAATGTAAATACAGTTGTTAAATATTGAATGCCTACAAGTATTACAGAAGTGTTTTCTCATTTAGCTGTAGGTACTTCAATCAGTTTGGTGTGTATCTATCAGGCTTGATTTCAAAGATAAAACAGAGATCAGAACCCTATCTTTGTTAGATTTCCAGTAGCCCCATTATTGCCACAACCCAAGGATTAAAAGGGTCATCAGATTTCTTCATTAAAGAACCCTCTTGGTCCTTTCTCCTACTTTCCCTCACTCTGTCTTTATTGAGAAATAGTTAATCCAACAATACAGATGGACACATGGCTTAATCATAGTGAGAAGGGATTTTGGGACCTGTATGCACAGATGCATAGAGTAGGTAAGATTATGATTATGATCTGTAATATTACTTTTGTCATTAGTTACCACACTAAAGCTCTCGCCTTTCGGTCCGAATGAGCTTCCCTTTATTTTTATTTATTTTAAATATGTCTTTATTTCAGAGAGAGGAAGGGAGAGGGAGGGAGAGAAACATCAATGATGAGAGAGCCCTCCATTGGGAATCGAGCCTGTAACCCGGGTATGTCCCCTCACCAGGAATTGAACCTCCATCTCCTGGATCATAGGTCGATGCTCAACTGCTGAGCCGCGCTGTCCAGGCAGATGCCCTTCCCTTTAAAGCCCTTATGTTTGTATGTAATATACTTCTAGCCAGTTCTTAAACTTCACCTTTATAGTCTTAGAAAGGCCCTTACTTTCTTGCGCATACATTGGTTTCATTTGTAAAGTCTGATGTGAGTACCCAGCTACGCCCCTATCCTGTGATTCTTTTGTTTTCTCCTCCACTGTTTTCTTTGACTTGCGTCCTTTTGGGCTACTGAAATGAATTCCTCTTCTGTCTCTGACTTAAGGAATTTTAAGTTAGACTTTGCTTTTCTCATTTATTTTGTCTTTTCATTGTAATTCTTTTTGTTTGTTTATTTATTTGTGTTTTTTTATTGTTGACTCTGTTACATATGCCCCCATTTTCCCCCCACTACCTCCTTCCACCCTGCCCTCCCCCCCCCCA